GGTTTTTTGGTGTCTTTTTGTTGTTTGGAGAATTAGAGGTTATCAGAAATGTTTAATTATGAATATTTTCGCAAAGCTTACCTCCAAGCCAGTAGTCAACGAGTTTAACGTAATTGACTGGAGGAAGTTTAGCGTTGATTGATGTTTGCTGTAAAAGTGTGTACGTATATTTTTTTTTTCTTTAAGGAAGCTATTATTTTTGAGACTTAGTACTTTTGTTTAAAAAAGGAGCTTGGAAGGATTTAGTAATTGTTCTTTGTTTATTTTCAAGCAGAAAAGAAAAACAAAATTTTGTGGTGAAGAAAACTAAATGTTTAAAAAATTACCAGTGTCGTCATTGTGAGAAGTGTTGTAACTCCAAGAGCAACCCGCCCTGCTGTCGAGTGCATGTCAATCCAAAAACTTACCCAGCTTACTACCACAATCATGGCTGTTGGTCCATATAGTTGGATTATGTAGTAACTTAAGTTAAAAACACTTGATTTTTTTTTTTCAATTTTGAAGTTACACAAATGTTTTTTTTTTCTAGTTTAAAGAAATAAGGTTCTTTGCCTTTTTCGTATAAACATTCAGAAAAAAATTTTTAAATAGAATTCTGGATTTACCTAAATTCTCGGGTTAAGAGCAATTCCATTCTGAGACATCCGTAAGAGCCTGAAAATCTGTTCTTGTTTTTTTTTTTCACTCAAGTATGAGGTTTTTGAAGAGTTTAAAGAAGACGAAGTCTTTTTGGTGAGGCAGGTATTTTGAAATGTCTTTTAAGCTGCGGTGCCAGTTTTCTCTCGTTTTTACTTCTTCGCAAGATTTTTAATTCATTATTACCTGTTGTGGTATGACTTGTGCAGTTGTCATTCGTGCTTATTGAAGTCAGCTTAAAATTAGGCAGGTCCTGTCCAACTTCGCCTTTTTTTCGAACTGGTTCGTCGTCAGTATCCCATCGGTAAACCAGGTCCTGTAATTTTCGACGTTCAGATTTACTGCGATATTGACTATTAATTTTATTTTAGAATGAAAGTTGGTTCAGTATCACAAAATTGATGAGTTTTTTACTTTCTTGCAAGTGGTCTATTCAAAAGTGACTTGCCTTGGTCGTATGAGCGTAACTGATGATATCAAAGTTACATTTCTGTATGTCAAATGGGTAATTTTGGAGTTTCATTGGACAGGACAATGTCATTGATAACCGAACGCTGTAGAGGATTTGGCCATCGGGGAATATGCGCAGAAACATATTTTCAGTATCAATATGATGCCTGTGGGCTGTTTTTTCCGTCTGTAGCAGAGAAAATTTGTGTTCTTTTAAATGTTTTTAAGGAATACCAGTGGCTCGGATCACTTGAAGATCACTGTTGATTATTAGAGACATTTCTGGTAATCAGCATGTAGTTTTATCAAAATTGATTAGTTTTAAAGTGAGCATGAAAGTAACCTTGCTGAGGAAGACTTAAAGCAGTTTGAAATTCACAAATTTGTCAATTTGACAGATATATAATGCTTTCAAATAATTCAATTAGTACAGTTTTTGAGACTAATAGATTATACTTTATTAGATAAGTATTCAAGGTATGCTCAAGGACTTATACTTTTTAAAGCTAGAAACAAAAGACATTTTCGTTATTTTTTGTATAGCCTGTTATAGCATTTATATTTTCTTAAGAACTATTATTAAATTAAATCAAAATTTTTATAGCAAGGAAAGAAGGTTAATAATTTAATGCATTTAACGGCTTCGATATAGCTGAGTATTGCGTTTAGGTTTCTGTATATGGTGTGAATTAGTAAGAGAACAATTAAGCCGCAATTTGCATTGATTTTGCTAGTTCACCTATTTTTTCTTTATTTTTTTTACTAGTTCTGGAAAAAAGTACTTTGGTATTTTTAAAAAAAATTTTCGCAGCTCTTGAAACGATTAGGATTCGCCTATGATGGGGCTTTCTTTGAATTTGAACTATCGTTAAGCGCAGGGTTTTTTTTCTTTTTAACTATTTAGTGTCTGCTGATAACATTGTAGCTTTATAAATTATCGCTGAGGTAGAAAAAGAAAACGGTAAGTTGTTTTAAGTAGTAATATTGAAAGATTTAAATTATTTACAGAAGAATCGTAGATCAGATTATTTTAAAAGGGATATTTTTAGACATTTTAAAAAGTGGTGCATCATTATAGCTGTTTGAAGTAGTAATAACTTTGTTTTGATGATATTTCGCTACTGTAAGGGATTTTGAGTACAATAAAAAATATTAGCTTAAAATATCTGAATGATTATTAGGAATCTGTTGGGTAGCATCAACTGTCATATCTTTTACATCAATGAAAGAGTTCTTCGTTTTTTGTTGTTTATTAGTCTTTTTTTTTTTTTTTTTT